CCCCCATCACACATAATTAGCTTTAGGACTTGACCATTACTTCTGGTTGTACGTTTCTGGCACTGATAAATGGTGCAATTTTGACAATTGTCAAAAGTAATACGCTTTTCAAACCTACAGGCAAGTTTTGTAGTTAAGAGAGTAAAAACAAGATAGATTCTACGTTTAATCCTCTGCCATTAGTCTGTAGCTGCTTAGACCAAAGACAGATATTTTTTTATTTTTTCTTAGTTTTATTCAAGTATTTCTCACAGATCCAACATTATTTAGTAATACAGAAAGCAAAGATTTGATTAAAGTTTAGAAAAAAAATAAGCATGCCATATTTTTCAGTTTCCACTACTGTTAATTATCTTCAGAGTCCTTTGATTTATTTTGCGACTCCTTGTGAGGATCTTTGCTTCCAGGCTGGTTTAGATTGATCCGTGTCGCAAGCCTGCACTCCATTTTTCATCCACTTGAGTGCGCCATTGTTCTTGTCTTGTGCAAGACATTAAAAACGGATTCCTAGAAATCCAGAAGACCAGATCATATCAGCATTTTTTTTCTTCCTTTTAATAAAACACAAAACTTCTAATAATGGTTCTAAAAGCTCCTTTATGCCTTTTTTTTGGTCAGAAGGTGGTCTGAAAGAACAAGCAGGCATTTCTGCAGGAGGCAGTAATATGAAAACGCCCTGCAATTCAACTAAATCAACCAAGTATCAATTTGTGTCCTGAACTTTTTTGTGATGAGAATTTTTTCTTAACGAAAGTAGACAACAAATACATTTGGATTAAATGGTTTATATTAGTCTCTTGCACCAAGTTACACAGAACGAGTCAGGGCAGCAGCTACAACCAACATGATCACATGGCAAGTCCATACTGTACATTTGCACAAATTCAGTAAGAGAACATTTCATAAGTGGATAGTTATAAATAGTCTACTTGACAGAGTCTGCTATCATGAAAGATACAAGGTTCTCTGTTGTAGCCACAGCTTGTTTTGTATATCTAGTTTCTACAGTAGAACATTCAAACCACTAAAACAAATCAGGCTCATTTAAGTGAATTTTCTCAAATATCAGACTTTGTGCGTCATCGAGGCACTTAAACACAAAATGAAATTAGTCCCCAACATTGACAAGATCACTCAGAAAAGCTGCTCTTGAGGAAATTCAGTATACTGTACCGACCTGTCGCATCTATTATCAGTAAGATGTCAGTACCTAACCCTGTGATCCTCGAGCAGCTTTTGCTCCTGTCACATTTTCTGTCACTGTCGGCTCATTTTTCACTGCAATATAAAGTCCTACACCTCTATGGAAACAGCACAACTATGGCTAACAATAGAAACAACTCAAATATGTCTTCATGCAATATAGCATAGTTAAAATGCCATAAGTCATGAAAAAGAAAAAAAACTAACTTGGAATTAACATTTACAGCATTTTTTTTCAAGTGGCCGTGAGTGTTTTTGATACTGGAAAGATTGTGGCTGTACGACGTATTGTAGATATTTTACTGCTTACATCTTCACAACCATTTTTTTTCACAATCTAATGCAAATCAACTCCATACGGATGTTTCTCTCCACTGCTGCATTTATTTTGTACTCACGTATGTTTGATTTAATACCATGAATCATAAACAAAACCAAAGTTGAATTTTCTTTTAGTTAGTTTACTAAAATTGAAAACACCTGGAATCAACACGTACAACATTTCTCTAAGTGCCCACAAGTGTTACCAATTCTAGGAAAAATGGTTAATCTACATACTGTAGATGTTTTACTACTTAGAAATTTTAATTGTAATTTGTTTTCATACTTGCCGCCTCTCTGCTCGGTGTACACACAGTCTGCTGTTTAACTGAGAAGTCCCTGAATTTTTCCATGTGATTGTTAAGTTCATCTGAGTCAGTCATGGGTTTTTGATGAATATTTAAATGAGACATGTAGAATACAATAATGTTGATGAAGTATTACAATTTCAAGCCAAGATGTGGATAATTTCCCCCAACGGATTAATTCAAATACAGTTGAAAAGTTCCAACGATGTAAAAAATCTAACATGAAATCCAACAATTTCTTCTGTTTTCGCTGCTTCTGGCTCAGAAAAATGGTGTCATTTGTAAAAGATGTAAATTGGTTAATTGGATGCACAGGAACCTCAGCCTGGTCTTTGTTTTGAATGTAACTCCAAATCTTCAGCGTATCCCTACGTATGTCACCGTCTAACCTGTTGCAAGTTGTGTATGTTCAATACATTCACCTTACAAACAGAAGAAGAGCTTGTGGTTATTATTACTCAAGTAGCTGCCTCTCTTTCAGCGAGCTGATGTCCTGCTCTGAGGATGGCAGCGTGAGGATGTGGGAGATCCAGGACTTGCCTCCTTCTGCTGAACCAGCCTCTCCAGGTGACACACATGCAAACAACAGGACACACACTCAGATGTTCCAGCGTTGATGGGACGGCAAACAGTTCCCACACCTTGTAAACGGCCATCATCCCATTTCCTCCCACGGATTTGCCATTTTATGAAAACTAGATTACATTCCTCATGATAGATTACATACTTAAGTATGAATTAGAAAGATCAAAGACTGGAGAAAATTGCCTGCACTGAACTTGTGTATGTGTGTAGTGCAGTGTCTTGATGTGAGGGAGGAGGTTAGGTACAGTAATGTTGGCCAGATGTGGTGTTGTGTACATCAAAGGAAAGTGGACCGTACCAGCACTCAGACTGGCTGTGTTTTCTGCTTAAGTGGGGTGGTCTAAAGTTGAGTATGCGTCTGTGTGGTCATGCTGTCTTTGATGCTGTAGATGTCTGTAGTTAGTGTCGCACTGTGGTGAGTTTTGGCTGGAGAATGCACTGCAAAGGCCAATTATTTGTCAGTCATTTGTTTTGTGTCGGAAACCAGAAGTCAGTCACTTACAACTCCTGTGGGCTTTCAAGGAGAGTTCCACTTTATTTCATCCTGGAATGTTAACCATAAATGCGGCCATGCTAACTTAACCCTGACAGCTCCAGAGTAGAGATTTGTGGAAAGGAGAACTTGTGCAAAACAACCCCAGGATAGTGTAGTGGGATTAGAGCCACGGACAGTGAAGAACCTAAGCAGTGGTAGGTGACTGTTTTCACTAAAAAGGCTTTCTCTATACCATCTGCTCAGCATCAAACAATAAGGACAACTAGCTGGTGCAACATTTAGCAGCTTTAACAGTTGTAATATTTCCCGCAGAGAGCTGACCAGAGCTAAAACAACAATGAATAATGGATTCATATTAATTAGGTAGCCAGAAACACAACTCTAAATGAACATGGAAGGCCTGTTCATGGTTTCCACATTCCTGTGCGCTCACTGACTTTGACAGTGAACAGTGGTGCTTTTCATGCTGCTGTAGATGTGCACCAGTCTGCTGTGTAGATACCCATGTTGCATTGCCGCTCATATCAAACACAGTAAAACACACGGGGCCGTTGTGGATGATATCTGAAAGGCTGTGACTTTGACTTTATGCAGGATGTAGTGGCTGGTTACAGATTGGACTGTAGCATCCTGTCAGGGGGATTATTCCTGAGGTGTGTTGAGCACACTAAGAAGACAGAAGAATTTCTGGAGAATTTAGAATTTTCTACTGTATTAGAACTTGCAATGACGACTTCGGTTGCAATCCTTTCATTAATGAATTATAAAGATGATGGAGAATCTGCTTGTCCAGTCTCTCCTTATAAAAAGCTTTGTTTTGAACACCAGTTTTGGTTTGCACACTGCAGAAGGGTCCCTGTGAACCCTTGCACACATGGGCCTATAAAGAAATTTACATTACGTGGTCTTAAAAGTACGGAGCCCGTCTGGTGACATCGATAAGAAATAAAAACAACCCGTTCCCACGCATTAGTAAATCGTGGCCACGAGTTATTAATACGTGGGACCGACATAGTTAAGTTGTGGCCTCGCATTACTAATATGAAGAAACAAGAGAAGTTGTGGAGCAAATTTCACAGTGCGGTCATACCAGCTGTCGATTAAGGAAAACGGGCGGACTTGCATGAAACGTGGAGCATTTTGATTTGATTTGATTTGATTTGATTTGATTTTAACCTTGGAATGAACCACACCAATATCCTGCGATCTCTTGCGACGAAACATCGTGTGATAATTATACCGTTCCCACGCATTCATATCTCGTGGCCACGAATTACTAATACGTAGGAACGAGTTATTTTTATTTCATATCGATGTCACCTGACGGGCTCCGTATAAAAGACCAATTCATGCCAAAATTTGTAACCCTGTGTGTGAACTTTAGTCTTCAGGGCTACACAATTATTGACACTTTATTGAAGTCATAATATAGCCAAGTGCAACATCCACATTGCAGGAGTTGCAGTTTTTGCAAAAGGTGAAATCTTCCACAACATACCATTAAAAACTGTCGTATTGCTACAGAAATGCACTGACCTTTCAGTCATATTCTCTAAACATAAGGAAAATAAAGCTGCAACAACTAATTGTTTAGTTGACTAATTTATTGAATCATTTGTTGACAATTAATTTAATACAATCGTTAACTATTTTGATACTCAATTCATCAGAAAAAGGCAAAATTCATAGATTCCACCATCTGAAATCTGAGTATATTATACTTTCTTTCCTCCTCTACGACAGTAAAAGGAACAAGTTTGGCTTGTGGAACAAACAAGACATACTGACTGACATTTTTCACCATTTTCTGACATTTAATAAAAATGTAGTTTATACAAATTTAAACATAAATTGATTGTTTTTGGATGTATCCCACTAAAACATGCAAGTGATGATGAGCAGACAGACAGAAACACAGCACCCTATCTACTACTTCAGCCTGGCATATTTGCAATAATCATAGCTCTTGTTACCATATGGGTTGTGCTTTTTGGGGAAACAAGAATACTTCAGTATTCAGTCCAAAAGCAAGTATACACAGAAAATAGCCCTGCTGGAGCAGCCATTAGGGCTAGCTGTAGGGGCATCTACTTCTCAATTAACTGTAGAAGAAGTTCCACCCTCTGACAGAAATATTCTTTTCAACAGTAAAAGCACATGCAACAAGACCAGGATGTATACAATGGATCTTCTTTAAACCATTATTAGAAGTCCTCAAGTATGCTTTAACACTAACCTTCTGTCCCTATAACCAGGGTTCTTTGGGATGTGGAGTTTTAGCCGGTCAAACAAACAGTCTGGTCCGCCATCAAAGAAGGTCATGGACATCCCCAACATCAGGATGCTGGAGTTGACAGGAGACCTGATTGGACACTCAGGAGCAGTCCAGGTAGGAGTCCATCATGTTCAAACTTACATTTTGCTTCTAAATGATGTCGTCCTCAATTATCCGTTTTGAACTTCTTCCAGATGTTTGTGAGCTTCAAGGAGAACGGTTTGGTCACGTGCTCGACGGACCACCTGCTGATTCTGTGGAAGAACGGAGAACAACAGTCCCAGCTCCGCAGCCAGGTGCTTTTCCAGAAATTGGAGGAGAAGGGAGGACTTTGACCTTTAACCCTCAAATCACTGCCTTAAAAAACAGGAGAGGCGGGAGGTTGTCGCTTGATGTTGCTCACAAATCATGTGAATTTTGGTGTAATGATTGTTGTTTACATTTACTGATAGTGTTATTGATTGACTTTGGACTGAAGACTATTTAACTAAAATTTTTGAAACTGAGTGAATACCTCATCTCAGAAATTGACTCATAGTTTTGCTTCCACCCTGGAGTGTTGGAGCGCTGTGATGTTACAGTAAAGTCAGTCATTTTGTACCAAGCGTTGCCTATTATGAGTTATATGCTGGTACAAGGTGTGATGGAAGAACTCAGACACTGTTTATGTTGCACAAGCAGCATGTGCAAGCAGTCACTGTCAGAGTCAGTAGACTATGTGATGCTGCGCTACTGTGTCAGGGGCATTTTTGCGACCACTGGTACATGTGCATTTGTGGTTCCTCCATGGACCGGAGCAGAGACAAAACATCTCTCTCTCTCTCTGTTGGTCGGCAGCCGGGACGATCCAACCCTCATGTGGAGGATCATCACTGAGGTACGTCTGTGCCTCTGACCCAGAGACCACACAGCAGTTTTCATAGTGGAAAAGCTTCAGTCTCGAGGACTGGACCAGCCACATCAGGTCAGGAGCCCACCAGGAGCATTCTCCTTTTTTTTTTCTACACGTGAATGTGCACTGTGTGTTCGTCCCCCGGGTTTGATGGTCAACACAGGGTTCCACTGTAACATTTTAAGGTGTTTGAGAGAGAAGATTCAGAGCAAACAACCTCAACTGCAGCACAATGGCATGTGTGTGCTCCAACTGCACTGTTGCCTTTGCCTTTTTATTTACTGCACTGGTATGCTGCTGCCTGTGCTCCTACTAGGATTGTAAGACTCCCTGCAATAAGCACCAAATCTCCTCCAATGAGTCAAAAAGTCGACTCTTCAGTTTGAATTTCTTTTTGGGGAAGTCAATCTGGTGAGTGGTGCCGGTGGAGAGCGACCACTATGGTGGTGTGGCCTCACATCCGGTGCATAATTCACCCGATGTGGACCAGCTCAAAGCACAGCAGGAGCACCCAAATGTTATTGCGCCGCAGTTTAAGTCTTTTATACAGAATGCTCTCCCTCAGACGTTTCACTAGAACTCTGTGTTCAACCTTGGGGGGCAAATCCAACCACGTGGACGCTGAAGAGAACTGCTGGGCCGTAGCCATAAATCCAACTTTGTAACCAGTGATGATCCTTGATTTGAGGTTTTGATCATCCCATCATCACAGAATGTGATGTTTTCTTCTCTGCATCAGTTTGCGGTCCACCTGCTAGTAGTCACAGAAACATCTGGAGGGCAGATTCCTGATGTTGATCGCACAGGGTCATGTGGAATCCTGACTCGTGACAGTCACTGCTCGCACATGCTGCACACACGTGCAACACAAAGGGTCGCAGAGCTTCTTGATCGCACTTGTATAAGCCTGTTCCATGTGCATTATTCTACAGTTTTGTTTTTTTTAAATCCCGTCCGCCAAAAACACCTGTTCTGGTTCTTGTCTGCATGTGTTAATTTGCACTGATGTATTTTGTGATTTCTGGCACTTTTTTGTGTTCTTGCGAAGAGTTGGATAAGAAAATTGATGCCACTGTATCTGTCTGTTCAAAACAAAAAGCTCAGAACAAAGATTAGAAATGGGAAAACCACTGGTGTGGCTGTGACCAAAGGTAAAAAAAAAAATCGCTATACCCCCACCCTAAAAGCTCACTTATGAATGAATGTTGTTTCTGAACAGATGTGAGAGCGGTTTTGATCTTCTCGTCCACCTCATGTAAAGAAGGCAAATCAGAACATTTCAAGCTATTCCTCTAAACATGTTGCTGCCATTGATGTAACGGTTTCATATTTAAAGAATGCTTTAATCGTCTCGTACAATACATTATTGTGTTTGACAGAAAACATCAAAATAAGACATAATCCAGAAAGAGCAAAAATACATTAAACTTTTCAAACAAACATGGGCGATTTTTAGGTGACTAACATAAAGCTTTGTAACTACTAAGCTTGAGGCAGTAAAATCTTTCAAAACACACATTACAAGTTCTCATGGCCGATAATGATCATTTGTTTGAAAAATACTTTTTTTTTTTGTACTGCATATAATATCACTTTCTAATTTTTGTTCCATTTATAAATTATACAAAACACAGAATTGGCACGTTCTCGCAGTCACGGCCATCAGTGTCACAGATGAAGGAGAGGAAATAGAAATCACTGTAAGTGATGAAGGCTTATCATTTCATAACAAGCAGTTATACAATCTGGTTCTGCCTCAGTAGACTCAATGCGAGGCGTTAACTGACTGGCTGTCATCTAATGTAATTGAAATCATCATATTCCAGTCATTACTGCTCACAGAAAAGGCATGGCTGTCTGACATGTAAATCTGAAATATTTAAATCGTCTTTGTGAATAGAAATCTTCTTTTATAGACTAGCAAAAATATCTTCTCATGATCAGTGATAGCAGCTATGAAACATTCAGACGTGGAGCCGCATTTCAAGTCACTGTAAAAAATTAGAGATTTTGGAAATCAACGGCAACATGTAACATCCAAAACAAACAAACAAACAAAAAAAAGTCACACAAGCAAAATATGTAAAATGCAAAGCAAAACAAAAAGATATTGGCTGAGTATTTACAGGAACAGCAGGTACATTAGGTAGTTTACAGTGTATTGCAACAAGAGCAGACCTAAACAGTGAGACGTGACAAGATTAAGGCGTCCGTTAAGACCTTGATCATCAATAGAGTGACTACATCGTTGTGAGTACATTGAACATGGATGTGACTAAAGTGAACTGAAACATTTGTGGAATTTAATCCAACTGCACTGATTCAGTTTCTGTCTTATAAAAAAAACAACCTCAAAGTTGTACAAAACACAGGATAAAATGTCAGGACCATTGTGACTGAACCATCAGCACTGACTCACCAACTCAAAACTGTAGCACAGACCATGAAGCAACATACCGGACGTCATGTTTTTTTTAGTTTTTCTTAACATGTCTAAAACACGTATGGCTTGTCTTGTAATTCTATAGAGGAGGAACTGTTTGAACAAAAGTACTTTAGTTAGCAGGTGTAAAGATGACCAAAGAATAAGGCACCTTTTAAAGAGCTCTCTGTGCCTTTGGTTAATACTGTAATGTGCGTCTTCTGGATTAATACACGCTTACTGCACACAAAGAGCTACACATCCTTCTACATGATCTCCAGCAAGATACATACAGAATTTCACCAAAGGAAATAGGAGTTTATGGATACTGATAGACTTACCTACCAACCGCCATTTAAAAGTTTAGTTTTGTTAATTTGTCTAGTCATTTATGAAATAATATCTGATGTTCTGCTGCTGGCAGTAGTGGTCTCTAACATCGGCTCACCTTCATGAATCAACACAGTTTTAAAGTCAGCTTTGGTTTTACCCTCTGAACCCAATGACAGCGTTAAAAGGCATGTTAGCTTTATAAAAAACACAAAACAAAAATTACACCAGAGCCAGAAGCTGTGGAAACTGAAGAGTCAGTGAGTTGTGAACACTTCAGTGGTTGAACTTCTTATCAGAATACCTTAAACTTGTGATATTTTGTCAACATCACGTAATTTACGCGTCTCACTTATGGATAAACCATTTGCCCTCACCAGATTCTCTAAAAAACTAAAATTCTCAGGTCATTGGCACAATCAAGAAACTGCAACCAACAGTCAGGTGACAAGTATTTATGGCGTATTCGGCTGAACTGCAGGCTGGAAGGATCTGCAATAAAGTATTTATAGGATGTAGAGCCACCATTTTCCCCCCAGTATTGATAACACCTGTGTGGGTGCTATAGAAACATCCATCCATCCATCCATCCATTATCTATATACCTCTTAATCCTCACTAGGGTCGTGGGGAGCTGGAGTCTATCCCAGCTGACTTAAGGTGAAGGCAGGGGACACCCTGGACAGGTCACCAGTCTATCACAGGGCTACACTTAGAGACAGACAACCAAGCACACTCACATTCACACCTACAGACAATTTAGAATCACCAATTAACCTCAATGTGTTTTTGGACCTTGTGGGAGGAAGCCGGAGAACCCACTGCACGGGGAGAACGGTAGGTCCCGGGTGTCCTCTCCGGGACGTGAACCAGCTTCTTGCTGCGAGGCAACGATGGAACCACTGTTTCACCTTTCAGCCTGCTATAGAAACATTGTTTTTCAATTGTAGTTTTTTTCATGTTTTGCGCAAAACTCAGAGAAATTCAACTTCTTCTACTTCTTTTTTTTTTTTTTTTTTTAATAGATTTATAGCATAATAACTTTGTTGAACTGAACCAAATATGTTTTTGAGTTTTTTTCTACTTCTATCCATAGTGATGTTTCCATAGAGGTACAGGACTTTAAATTAGCCCACAGTGAGTAAAAATGCAACCGGAGCAAAAAAAAGAAAGAAAAAAAGCCCAGGAACTGCTTTGGGTTCAGAGGGTTCAAAAGCTGATTTTGACAAACCACTATCCATTTCATTCCAGTCCTAACTGGTAAATAAATCATTTCCTTTGGATGTTATTTGACTCATTATGCATCATAATGCGTAACAAACTCCACTGTGCACCACTTCTACATTGCCACCAGAGGGCAGGCAACACATACAAGTTCCACCATCTCATGGACTTTCTGTCTACTTTAGTGAATCAAAAAAAATAAAAAATAAAATCATGTACATGTAGATTTCTCTTTAAAAAAGAAATAAAATAGCTATTTGGGGTTGCAGGATTTGAGATGCAGTAAAACTGCTTTAACAAAAACCACGTGAGAGCCGGTGCTGATTAGTTTAAGGAGGAGACAGACGCTGGCTCTGCAGCTTTTTCAAGCTGGATCTAAACGTGGATCTGCCGTGCCGTTATACATCTATCAGGCCACAGAGGTCGATTTGTTCCCCAAACACACAACGGATTCGTGTTGCTTCACATAGAAAGCCTACACTGCTCAGATACTCTCATGCAGGATTTGTTTCTACTCCGTTTTTGGGTGCAAACGTCTACAGTTAGTGTCACAAAGCTATGAACGAAACTAAACAGCTCTGATACAGTGCAATTCTGTTCCTCCATTTGACAAAGATCTCTGTTGTCCTCGCCGGCTGCTTTCACAATGCACAGAGGACGGTGATGTAAGAAATTAAAACAGTAGGTTATTGGGTGAGATACTTCACAACCTATTCTGCAGCTACATGACCTTAAAATCCAGCGATCGTCACACAAAAAAAACAAAACAAAAAGAAAACAGCCCTTCTTTGATGTCACCTCTGTGTGTATATATATATAAGGGGCTGGACATTTGGAGTATCTGTGTGCTGGCTGGCACTGCACCCTCATACTTGGCTACCTGACTCCTAAATGTTTCCAACAAGTTCTTTCTTTGTAGAGCCGACAGGGACTTCTAAGAATTTGGTCCCAGAGACAAGTCAACATGTCTCCTACTCATTTCACAGCGAACAAGAATGAATAATTCCAGCCGAGCACCTTCACAAGTTGACAATTTGATAACAGTTTGAACATGTGCGCTCACATCCAGTGAAAAGCACGAGTAGACCACCTATTTCAATCAGTGTCTCCAGCTATTGTCACTTGTTATTGTTCATATTCTTTTACAGCAATGTACAGATATCGAATGAAACTGTTTTTAAAGAAAATTAAGAGTTTATTAAGTGTGAAAAGCAAACTAAGCAAAAGGGAGCTCTGAATGAAAATGTCTCGATTAGCTAAAGTGCAGGTTTCTGGTGTGGTGCACTGTTAAGCACAGATTGTCAGGTGAGCCATAAGGTCCACGCAGTCTCATAGAGGTGCTAAAAGGAATACTGTACGGGGCCGTGAAGTGGCAACAGGGAGTCCAGAGGGCCCTCAAATGACAACCTGCCCTTCACTGGCAGAAAACCACCTCCAGTTACAACCACACAAGAAATGAAGCTGCGATTTGAGATGGAAACGGCGCCTCAGCGTTCATTAGTCAACGATGTTGGCTCTCAGAGTCCCCAGTAGGCCGATTTTCGTGTCCCGGGACGTCTGGGAGGGCACACGGCGCTGTCAAATCGCAGCTGAAAAGACGAATAGTTCGACCGCAGGGGTGCGTTCACTGTCCTACCCTGCTCCGAGTGATGGGTGAGAGGAGGAGGAGGAGGAGGGGAGTCGGTCAAGAAGGAGGGGGAGGACGCAGGCTCTTACACTTCATCTCGTCCAAGTTCTTCCAGTACTTGTAGTTCTCCGACAGGTGCTCCATCAGACCAGGCAGGCTGGCAAAGGCTGCGAGGAGAAACACAGAAGATGAGGTGAGTAGAGAAAAAAAGCAGACACAGGAACACAGGTGTGGGTTGTTTTACTGGACAGAGGCACTTTTTTCATTTCTGTGGTAAAAGAGTGAAAACCTGACGAAAAGTAAACGACTGTTGATTAGAAATTATATATACGGGGGGCAAAATGTGCTCCTGTTACATTTTTACTCACTCTTGACTAATTTATCAGAAAGTTCTGCACCTCTGTGGAAGCAGCACCACCATGGCTGGAGGTGGAGAGAACTCCAACATTTCTTTTGTGTAGTAAAACGTAGTGCCATCAATCAGAAAAAGTTGAATTTTGTTTTGAGTACTAATCTTCCAGAAAGTGGAAAAATCAGGAATCAACATGTCCACAGATGTTGCCAATACTAGAAAAAACAGGTAACTTTGCATGCTACATATGTTTTACGACTTACATTTTTAATGTGTTTACATACTTCACACCCATCTGCTCTGTGTGGACTGCCTGCAGTTCAGCCGAATGGTTCTTGTCAGTAGCTTTGTTATAATTTTGTCACTAGTTATGGGTTGTGCTGATGAGTTCAATATGTTTTGTTTTCATTCCATTTTTATTTTTTCCAAATTTTTAAACCTGTTGAATAAAGTGATTTTAGGCTCAAATTAGATTCTTTCACTGAAGAGTTGTAAATCTGATGATTATTTTTGTTTTTACAGTTTCTTTTCTAACTTTTTTTCCCCAAACCTACAACCATATTACTTAATTATTAACTACTTATTATCAGTGGTATTTTGACAACGGTATGTTATAATTTAACATAAATTAACCAGATAAATACTTAATTAGGGGACTGTAAAAGGAAGTGCTCCCTATGTGAAAGAGGTTTGAATTTAGATTTCAGATTTGCAAAATGTGAACTAAACACCAACAAATTTAAGGATATAAGGTTCCAATTTGCTGATTAGTTCTCGTCTCTAATCCCTCTAGAGACAGTACTATGGGAAACAAACTGACATCTTGAGACTACAGGAAGCATACCTGGAAGAACACTGAGCATCACATAAGACTTAAATTGGTGCGATCATTACAGGGCTGCAAATAGATCCAAAAAATGTGATTATATTTCATCTTTTTCTCTTATTGTTATTATTTAACGTCCACCTTTTCCCTCGAATGATTTAAGTGGGTAAAACAACAGTTCATGGGCTTCAGAAGTCTGAGTCAAATCAAGTGGACATCTTCCAAAGTTTAGTTAGTATCAAATGTCCGCCTCGTGTTACTCTTCCCCACTCTGTGGTTAGAAAAATGAAAAAAAAAAAAAAAAACACTGTCTGGGCAAACAAAACATGGCTTAGTCTACCAAAAGTCAAAATATAGTGCAGCTGTTACTATAAATAATTTCCACAACACAATCCAGTTTACAGTGACACTAAACAGCAAACTCTAAGAACGTGACGTTACATAATAAGCGGCCGCAGGAATTACCAACAATGGAAAAAGATGGTGGCTCTTCATACTGTGGATATTTTACCGCTTACATTTTTAATTTGTTTCCATCCTTGTCTCCTCTGCTCTGTGTAAACACAACCTGCAGTTCAGCTGAAACAAACCTCGAATTGTTGCTGCATGACTGTTTGTTGCAGCTGAATCACAAATGGTTTCATGGTTCCAATGAGGAATGCAGAATTTTTTGTTTTTACAGAATCTGGTTCAAGCAAATGGTTGATTTTTGGTGCATTTTTTAAATGAGACATGTAGACTAATTTTCATGCAACATCACGATTTTAAACTTAGATTCGACTATTTTTTCAGAAAGCACAGCACATTACAAATGACCAGTTCAAGTACTGTCAGGAAATTTTAAATCTGCCTTTTTTTCCAGTGTTCACAGTTTCTGGCTCTGACAAATGGTGTCAATTTGGTGATCAATGGTGTCATTTTGGGATAACACGTCTTTCAAAACCAGCTGGGAGATTTTGGGATTCAGAGGCCCAAGGCATGTGTAGAAATACTAGTTTCCTGAGCATTGAACACAAACACCTACGCTGAAATGTAAACTGACTAGACACCTGTTATCCTGTTATCATTCCACACAGGCTGCTCGATGAGGGCGTGTGTGTGTCTAGTTCATGTTCAGTGGTCGGTGTTATGTACACTCTGCGATGTTGCTCCCACATTGAAAGGCCTGCTGGGGTTGAAGGTCTCTCTGCCTTTCTTTCTCTCACACACACACACACACAGCTCTTGGTGTGCAGTGTGTGTTCCCAGCGTACGACCTGCTCTGTTGTTTACGTCCATATTTCCGGTTCGACTCGCACTACATTTTCTGGAACTAACGATGACCCCCGCCGCGACCCGACAGTGACCCTGGTGAATTGAAAGCGGCTGCATGTGTGTTTTTGTGTTTAAGTGGAGTTCTGCTTGACCGCTCGTCCTTCCCCAAATTGAGCCATCGTAAACCCCCATCCCCGCTACTATTTTCCCAACTTCCCCTCCCCTGACGCCCTCGCAATTTCTCCCTGTCCCACTGGCATTTGGAATCTTTCCGTGACATCATAGCCATGTTGACAGTAAACAAGTTCCCTCTCGGGGAGACTATACTTGGAGGGAATTCAGTGGGAATGGGTAGCTAATATAAGCACCACGCGATCCCTTCCCAGTTTTCACGACGCCTCCTTTTCATCCCTTTGCAGTAATTTCCTATCCTGCAATATGCCAAGAAAAATGAAGAAGGCAGTAGCAGAGGGCAGGAGTGAAGATGTGACTGTGAGGTTTTGATGTAGACTAATGTTTGGACTGAACTGCCTCTTTGGTTCATTCATTGTATTTGAACTGTTGAACAAACTGGATATGTAGGCGTTCCTTCAGAGATCTGGACCTGGGCTAATTCTGTTTCTATTCAATTCTATTTCAATTTTTAACTGACCAGTATCTAAGTCCACTGCTTTGTTTACAGCTGCTGTCAGCCAGAGGGATGTACTACGAAGCCAGATTAGTGGGTTATCAAGGTATGTTGAGCCTAAAGCCAGAGTTTTCAGAGTCACGAAGGTGGCTCTTTTTTAACCTGCTAGATCTCCATGGTAACTGATGCTGTGGAGCTAACCTGGTTGGGAGCAGGTTATGTTCAGAGAATTTAAATCGGCTGAAAGAGCATCTCCCTTTAACCAGATCGCTTCCTGACTATTATTTATGAGCGATACAGATTCTCAGCTGAGGGAATGTGTTTTATCTGCTAACATGCTGAGTTGTGCGTTACTAATATCACTGAATGAAGCCGTGTAGTTACAATATCACACACCGTGAATATCGTGTTGCCATGGTAACGAGACTTGTATTTAGTTGTGATGCAGAAATCACATACATATGTTTTTATGTTTGGCTGATTTCCCTTCAAGTCCATTTACACTGCTGCTACTGCAGCTGATAAAACCCAGATTAGAGAATGGATTATTCTACTGGTATTTATTACAGAGGATATTCAATCAATAACATTAATTTTGCTCTGATTGGGCCAAAAATTAAAATGATTTCCTGCATTATGGGACAGTGTCAGATCTAAACGCACTTCAATACAAGATCATGTTTAAATGTATGAAGTTTAAAGTTGAACTTTAACGTGCAGCTGACAGTTGGAAATAAGCATCGATAAAATATTAGACATTAACACGTCTAACAGCTTTCTACCAGCATTTCTGTTCACATGCTGATTGTGAATACGTGGCACAAAGAAAAAAATAAAATTTTTCTTTTTCATGGCGTGACTTTTGCGATGCGCTTACTGTTCATATCGCCATGAAAATAAGACTTTTTGGTCACTACTCCTCACACAAAATCAAGACATTCAGACATACTGCAGCAGAAAGTGTTGCTCTTACCATCCCAGGCGTCAAACATGTCAGTAATGAAGTAGTCTATGAAGGAGATCTGAGATTTGGGCACGCTGCAGGTGTTCCTGTCAAACACTGGCATCACCACTGGCAGCCCCTGTCTCTTCTCCTCATCTGTCTGCAGGGAAACAGCGAGAGAGGGAAAACAATGAAGTGACAATAAGGGAGATGATTACTCAAGATAAATATCCAGCTTGGAGGGTGAGAGGTCGTGGATGAAATAAATTATGCAAAGTGACACAATGAAAGCAGTCAGATGGCTGCCTCCCTTCACAGATCCAGGACTGTTCTCAGCTTGCTCCATTAAACGGAGCTGTATTAGTGCTGCTCCCCACACCTGTGCAAAGTACTCCTCAGAGATCCGTCCGGCCCACTCGATGCACAGCTCCAGCGGCCTGCAGGGGTTTGCCACATCTGCACACTTGATCAGCATCCTCTTTATCAGCAGACGGTTCTCTGGAGAGTTGCGGATGTTGGCCTGACCCTCGCAGTCGCTGTTCACGCTCTGTAGGAAAGACATGGCAGGCGTGGTAAACATCTGCACAGGCAGAAACAGCACACCATGTTCTTTACATGCTGCTGGCACGCAGGGCTTATACACACATTTACTGTTGTCAGTCTGGGAACACTTTGTGTGTTTGTGAGAGAAATTCCTAGAAAGTTTTGAAACGAACTAACTGTGCAGCAATTTTACTTAATCTCCAATTAACCCTCTGACGACCCAAGTAGTTTCTGGGTGTTTTTTTCACTGTAGGTACATTTTCACCACAATAGAAAGTACTGCACCTCTATGGAAGCAGCAAAACCATCGGGCATATGGCTACATGTGCTATTAGTGGGGAATTTTAAACAAGTAATTTAGAATAAAAATGTGGCAGCTTTAGGCTTAGATTTAGTTGAATTTATCCAAGGTCCCATCTGTTTTTATTGTTTTCTGTATCATTCGGATGGTTAAGGCATCACATGTAATAATAGACAGATCCCCAACAAACGCACCACTTCATCCACTCAGACCAACACAATGTAAGTTTTGGCGTATTTATGGAATATATTGACACTAAGAAAAATTCTGAATAATTAAACGCCCCTTGTCGATATCAAGAAGCAAAATCTTTTGCAATACAAATATTTTTCCGGGATGGGCTGTAGAGACTGTCTGGGAATTAATAGGTTTTACAAGTTCTAATGTATCACAGTGTTGTGGGAAGAAGTGGCGCCGAGTTGCTGTCGTTTGATAAATTATAATCACACATGGACAGAAGTTTCAGTTTTCAAGAACTTTTGTAGAGCTGACAAAAATGTGTAGTTTTTACAATTAACACTTGTTCTCTGCTTCATATGATGTATGTGTCTAGTGGGTCTGGTGAACACGGGTCAGTTTACACTTTCACATAGACGGAGAGTACTATTTCAAATAATACATTGATAATTGATAAATATATACTTGTTTTTAAACGCAGTTTAAGGAAGGTTTTAGTGGAACTTAACACAACAACAGTCTCAGAGCTTTATCTCTGTTTTCTCTATGTGCATTTAACTAATTTGCATTTCGTTCAAAAAACTATTGGGATTTATTATTAGGAAAACAACAGCTTATAGGACAAAGCGGTCAGGACACCTACCACGTCAGAGAAATGCTTTCAAGCAGAAAGTCCCTGGTTTAGTTCCTGGCCAGCCCAAAACTTTACTGCCACCCTCCTGCTCTGTTGCCCCACATTTTCTCTCTCTCTCTGCCAAATGTTACTGTCTAATAACGGAAAAAAGTGCCCTTCTTGCAGGCTCACCCACACTTACACTCGTGCTGGTCTCTTCGATGGCAGCCATTGGCTTGTTGATGCTGTTGACGAACTTGCTGACGTGTTCAAAGTGTCTGGTCATCTCTGTGGCCAGCACCATGTCGATGATGGCCTGTCGCAGAGTTCGGAACTGATTCCTGTCAGCAATGAAGAACAAGTTCACATCATGTGCTGTCACTGCATGAATTCACAGCATGCTCAGGTCGTTTTCGATGGGGGGAACCCTCTGAGTCCCTAAACTGATGGTAGCTGCTGACCTGTCGATGTTCTTGAAGATGTTGCTCTTGCTGTCGCGCACAGTGAGCTGGAAGGCCAGGGCAGCGTGGTGGCTCTCCAGCACGGCCGTGTCGTTGTAGAGGATGGCCAGCTCGCTGCCTGCGTTGCACAGGAAGGAGTTGGTCCTGCCCGGGTGGTCCACATCGTGAACCGTGGCTGCTATCAACGCTGCCACCTCATCCAGCTGGTCCAGACTACTCTGAAGAAAAACAGCAGAGACGAAGAGTGACGTCAGCAATGAACATACAGACACTGACCAGAGCTTGTTTTGGTCTCAATAAATATTATTAATCAATCCATCCGGCTGGCCTGTTGTTCTCAACACATGGCAGCAGTTTTTTAAAACGTTAGAGACCCTGTAAGTTTTGGCCTCTCGTGGGCGATGGTTTCAATAAAGCAGGTTCAGCTCTTTAACATTTCAGTTCATTCACACAAACAGCAGCATGCAGTGACTTTGTCATCTTGGCTGTAATCACACAGAATGGTTTTGTTTTAATCAGTTGTTGATATGGACATATGGAGATAGTTCTTTTGTATTTTAGTACAGCTTGTCATATGAAATATTCTTGCTACCTTACAACAATTTTACTTTTCTAATTTTACATTTTTCATAACACATCAATACAATTACAAATATAGACTAACTTTACATGTCTAATGTAAAATAACATTAAAAATGTGTAACCATGGATAACCATATGACTTTTTTCTTACATTTTTTTGGACACGAAAAGATTGAAAAAGACTTGATAAGTGCATTTGCAAATTTATCATAATTTCACAAATTGTTCCTTTTATTGTGTAGATGAAGCTGTTAAATTCACATTTATTGCTAAAAATATATTTCTAAATCACTCTGACCAATAATGGTGACGATTAGTGACAATGAACAGATTAACATTTATTGAGTCTGTAATTACACTGATTTATCTGTTAAATGAGCCAGACAGAGGTTTTCACAACAGAAGTGTGTAATATCTCGAAACACTGAGAATCTGTCAGAATAGAGTTTTATCATTGTCTACATCATTTTATCTATCCATCTATCTATCTTATTCATGTTACAATATACAATATTCTAATTATAATTTTGGTTATTTTACAATGTTTTCTAAGCGATGTTTTTCTATTGAACAAAAGCTGTTCAGGGCAAATTCAATCCATGGTGCCAATTTACACACACAGCAAATCACACCCTGAGTTTTTAGAGACATGATTCCAAGAAGAAAAACAAAAAAACAGGAATCCTTTGTCACATTTTCTTGTTGTCAACATATTCAAATGCTTTTTGGTGTCTCTGTCGCCATCTTTGTCTCATTTTCTAGTTATTGTTAGAACCTTTTCTTCTGGTTTTTATCACATTTTATTTGTACAGACTGCAGGTCAGTCGAACCAAATGAGTGTTTTTCTCCTAACCTTGACTCTCTCTTTGCGCAGGAAGTAGGCAGTGGCGTGCAGCACGTCTGCAGCGTGCGTGGAGTTGTGGTAGGAGTTGGACGAGTGGTAGCTGGCCTCCATGAGCTGCAGCCACGAGCGCAGCGTCGCCTCCGAGCAGTTCAGGAACTCACACACTCCGAAACTGGTGAAAATTTTCAGGCCGAGGTAAGTCAGCGGTCTGCAGGGGATCACACAGAGGACGGGATGAAGGCATGGAACAAGTTCAAACATCAGCCCTCAGTCTCCTTGTCAAGCCTAGTCTGAGAATGAAAACTCTTTTCAGTGGAATTTTGCTTTTCAACTTTTACAAGGCTTCATACATTTCTGGGAACGTGACTACAAAGGTATTGAAATTAATGTTCTCACAGCTTTACCAGTTTACTGGTCTTGTTTCATTATCATTTTTTTGTATGCATATTCTTTAAATGGTTTGAATTTTAGTTGAATAACTGGGTTCTTTTACTCATTTCGATCAGTTTTAGTCATCTTATTGAAGAGTAGTTTTAAAAAAGAGGATCTTCTCTGAGTGGAAATTATGTTTATTCTACACAAAAACAATAAGTTGGACTTTAACGGGCGTTAAACATCAGCAAATTACTGGAGTCGTTTTGTCACTGTTGCCTGGCAACCTCTATGCTAAGCTAAGCTAATCATCTGCTGGTTATTTATTGGACAATGTTAGAATGGCATTGATCTTCTTTTCTAACTCTTCTTAAGAAAACAAATGTTCTTATTCTTCTGGCTCTGTCGTGCCTCTACTTGTATTTTATAAGGATGAAAAAACAACTTAATTCACTCATCCTCTTTCTATTGAGGGTGCTAAGTGAATAAATCAAGTAACTGTTGAAACTGTTAACATACAGCTAGTAATAAATTGCCTTTCCTAAAATCAAGACATGTATCAGCTGATTCCCTTTCTGATGATATCAAGCCTGCCGTGTTGCCGTCTGGTTTGACAGTGATCTAAGTGTTAAGCTCCACAACAGAAAACACAATCACATTCTAGTCACCTTAAACATATTTTTTGAGAAATCGCCTCTGACTTTTACCACCGAGACCATTTAATAAACTTTTATCTTGTCACACACAGATTACTGCAGCAGCCTTTTTACCTGCCTGAACCAAAAGTCTAGTAATCAACAACCGTTCAGCTCCATACGCACTCGGACACACTTTGAGATCCTCGGACGGAGGACTTCAATGTGTTTTAGGGGCTGAAAGCTGAAGGGGGACAGAGTGTTTGTAGAATTTTTGTTCAGAATCCATTTAATGCAAACATTTTATGTTTAGTGAGCTTTTAAATGTGACGTCTGAAATGAAGTGATTTTGATGACATGATGATTTGGTGAGGTTGTTTTTTTGTTGTTTTTTTTTTCACTGAACATCACATCTGAGAGTTGAAACTATGTCAGTTCTCTGTTTTTACAGTGTCTGGCTCTGATGAATTGTGCTATTTTCAAAAACTGCTTTTGGGCATCAGAGGGTTAAATTCCTTTTTTAAACACTTTCATCTGAGAGCCTTCCCTGAATTTACGTGAGTTGGAATTTCTGTTTCCAGTCTTTTTACTCTTTCCAACACTGCATTGATTTTTACACACAGAATTGTGCTTTCATTGGTCTCCTTCTAAAATCCAGTGACTTTATGACTCGTCTGCCTTCTTACTGCCTTATTACTAACTAGAATTTTGAAAAATGCTCAATAAATAAACATTATCATGATTATTATTGCCCTCCTTGATCCTTTCTTCTTTGTACCTTTTGTGTGTAGCTGCCTCCAGGTCCAGGATGTTGAACTCCCAGCATTCCTCATCATTCAGCATCTCGGCGATGGATGGAGGGACATCATTCAGAGTGACTGGGATGGCCAGCTGGCTCTGACTCATATCTAGCAGACAGACACACATACATATGCCATTCAAGGTGATCTGACCATAAAAGGGGCAAACCAAGAACGTTCTACAGATAAGTAATGAACGACCGAACCAGTCTTGGCTCTGCGACATCTATACACATGAGCAAACATACTGGCTCTGGTGCTTATAGAGCGCTGTGGAGAGACGACTGTTTAAAGAGCGCTGATGGAGCTGCAGCTCTGAGGTAAGGACGCAGTTTGACTTGATGAAAGAGGAGATAGTTTCTCAGAAAACGGACTCTGGGTTTAACTCTTCTCTCAGTAAAGTGCTCTGGTGACTTTAGTAATTATCACGGGGTTACGTAATAAACTGAGATGGAAGAATTCACACTGTAGAAACTACAAGAATATCGTGTTGCATTCATCACAGCAAAAACCACTTTAAACTTAATATTTATTCATGAGATCCAATCAAGACAGCAGAGCTCCAGTTCTGTAATCTCTGTGTCGAGGGCCGCAGGCTACAATCTGTGATCCCACCTGTTCTTTACACAATGATTCATTACCAGTAACTGCTGTTTTTGCTCGTCTTAGTCATTTTGTGTGTGCAGTGTGAAAAAAGATCTGTGGTTGTCACAGTTCTGCCAATGTTTAGCCTGATTTTAATTTCCTAACCTTATACGCAGTTTGATAGCTCCTGATACTCATCAGATACTTATTCAGTCTTTAATTTTGCCTCAGTATGGTGACCTGCTTATTAAACAACTTGTGGGTTTTTACTCTTAAAAAACATGCCAGTAACAGTAGTCCCTCCTGTGTTCCTTCCTATGTCTCTTTGGCATTAACACAGTGATGCTTTGCTCAAGAGTGAAACTTACTCTTGCAGAAAACATATTCGTTCCCAGAGAGTCTCCGCAGCCCGTCCTGGTAAGAAAAAGAAGAGAATATGATATTATATTCTGATCCTTAATTCACACAATGCTGATAGAAGATAAAGAATTAAGCTTGTGTTATTTTCTGTTTTTCTTCGCATCAAAATATTCCATGAAGACACCAAAATCTAAAACGTGCTACTCTGACTGTCAGTATTTTGACTTTCTGCAGACAGTACACAGTCATTTCCTGAAACAGCTGTTCACTAGTTTTTATCTCAGGATTCTCAAGCTGGAGTAAAAGGTGCATTTGTTCAGGAACAATTTTAATTCTGGATTAATACACATTTGATGTTTTAAACTTCAGAACCCAACAACCTGCCAGCAAGTTTGAAAGGCATGCTGTCTTAACAGAAAACCCCCTAAATTACTCTATTTATCAGATCCAAAAACTTTAAAGACAAACTTTTCACAGTCTGTCTTGTAAATTTAATTCAATCAGAGCTCACGATTGCGATATTTAATGGAAATCATGTTATTCTACATGTCTCATTTAAAATTTACAAAAAATACAGTTTGCACCAAATCCTGCAAAACAAAAAAAACCCCCAAAAACCACAAAAAGCATGCTCCTCAACCGTGAAGCTGCCAGCGGACAGAAATTTTCAGCTGAACTGCAGGCTGTGTTTACAGAGAGCAGAGAGGAGTCCGAAATGAAACAAACTAAAAATGTAAATAGTGAAATATCAATAGCACATGGAGCCACCTTTTTTTTGGTATTGATAAAACCTGTTGTTACCTGAAAAAATGTCGTACATGTTGATTCCATTTTTTCAAATGTTTGTAAAATAAATAATCAAAGAAATATAATTCTTATTACGACTCTGTAGCTGCTTTGCTCTGTACAGATATTTCTGAGTCCTCTCTAATTCTAGACATGGCGGTGCTGTTTCCACAGATGTGCAGGACTTTATATTGCAGTAAAAAATTAGTCTGCATTGAGAAAAAAATGAGACAGGAGCAAAAAACACCTACAAACTGTTTGAGGGTTACACTGTACACAGTGGTGGAGCTAACTGATCTGTTTCTATTAGTTTTTGTTAAACCTTGTAGATGCACCTGTAAAGTCTAATGTAATTCAATACAACAGCTCTGCCATAAACTGTACTAAGCTTCTACATTTTCAGTTTCTGCTGTCAGAAAGGTGATGATTCTACTTTATTGTTCTGATTGGGGTCATCGTAGGTGGTGGTGATGCACTGGGTTGACATTACATTTGAATGTGTTAATGGGGTGCACATGGACAGTAAACAGAATGTTGTATTGGACTGCATTAGATGTCACATGTGTACCTAGATGAGTGGCTGCTGAGTTTATATCAGGCTTTGGACACTCACATACTTAACAGTAGGATTATTCATTCCATTTTCAAGAAAAGAGACAATAATACGTCATGCAAAGAGCTCAACTTATGGAACTGAAAACCTGCTTTCAGTGTCCACGTGCAGTGACTCACCTCACAGTACATTAAATAAACAAAGACTGTTGTTGGCACTGCACAAATACGGATTTTGAAAGCCAAAAATTTCTTGGTTCAACAAGAATGCCTGTTCAGTTTCATACGCATGAGGTAAGACTGTTTGTTGCCTCTCCTTATAAAGTGTTTCAGGCGTCTGTACTTATGAATGAACCCAAAAGCCCACATTAAGTAACTGCCTCTTACACTCATGAGCCCCCCAACCAGGTCGTTGGTGTGGGGGTCGTCCTCTTTGGAGGCGAGCTGGGGGGAGTAGAGCTCTGTGGTCCTCAGGATCTCCAAAACTCGATCCAGAGCCTCGGCCACCGTCACCGGACTGCTCTCCTGGGCTGCGTTGATGATGTTTATTACCTGAGGATTAGGAAGAACAAAAGTCCCAATTCTGCCTCAAAACAGACATGATATAAAAAAGAAACAACATCCCACAAAGAGCCCTCTGCAGCGCACGCCGTAACAGAGGCCTCCTTTGTTAGTGGATGTGTCATGAAGATGTGCATGTGATGCTGTGGAAATCTCATCTGGGGCAAAACAGCCAAATAAAGTGACGTCTCAGACACACAAGAGCATCACAGGACCTGCAGCAGGAGGCGAAGCGAGACAATGTCACATACTGTACACTGTATACGGAGCAGCCTACAGCTCGACCTTGGAAACGTTGCTGCGTCTGCCCCTCTAGAGCTTCCCGTCATGACGGCGGGGGGTCACGGAGAATTCACAATCAGCTCTGAACACTTTTATTTAAATGTCACACTCACAAACACATGCAGGAAAAATTCCCCCTGATGTCAACGACGTCAGCTGTGAGGTGTGAAACAATGAGTCCAAAGACACTCTCTGAACAATATTATCCACGCTGCAGGCTAAGACGCAGGACAGCATGGGAACACTGAAATGTTTCTATTGCTGCAAATATATTAA